CTAGGATAGATTGTGACGGTTAAAGGCTCGAGATACCATCACTATAATATCAACTTTGTGAGTCAGTGAAACGGTAGAAATTTTCATAGCAATTGTATATAAATACGAAGAGATTACACAAGCGTCATAGCGCAATTTATTATCTTCTCTATGAACAACCTCTATGATATCAATTTTATTTACCTGTCTTGTTTTAGTTATAATAAATAGTGTAGTATAGTATTGAAATTTTTGAGATATTTTTGTTATTTTTGTTGTTACAGCTGTGAATCTTAGCTGTTGTGGGTAGATGACAACTTTTATGCAACACTCTGACAGGAGGTAAACCCCTCCAAAATTGAAGGAAATCTATATTCTTTCCAACCAAAACCCAAAAGGTTCCTTTATAAGAGGTTGAAGGAGCAAGCCTTGTTGCAAGTGCATCGCAACCCACCACTTGCAGTATTGACAGCTCAACCACAAGCCCCAATCACAATACGCGAAGTGGCAATCCCACTAGTAGAAAATGTAAACTATATTATAAAAAAACCTAACATTACTAGAAGATGGGAGCTGGAGTAGAATATGGTGCAGTTATTGCACACAAACGAGAAGTTCACATGCTTACCATAAGAGGACCCATAGGCTCATCTCTAGAATTTCCTATAGATCACAAATACTTACATCACACAGGATGTCTGATCGAAATGTGAGACTCACTCTGTTTCTGTCCTCTTTGTTAGGGGAAGCCAAAAGGTGGCTTACAGTTGACCCTACCAACTCTATCACTTTATGGGATGATTTGGCAAAAGTGTTTCTTGCAAGGTTCTTTCCAGCTGGGAAGGGAGCTAAATTAAGGAGTGAGATCTTGGATTTTAGGTAGATGAAAGGTGAAGGCTTTAGATATTCATTCTAAGCCTTAATCAGGTTGGCGGCCAGTAATCCTTAGTGGACCAGTGAGTCCAATAAAAGATGCAGTGAAGAGATTCTAGAGGTTGATGGGATGACTAGTATACAAGCACAAATTGCAGCGATGAACAACTTTAGCCAATTAACCAATTTTTTTATAGGTCAAGCGTAAGTGCAAGCTCAAGCTCAGTGAGTTCAACAATCTTAGTTGTTCTGTGAAGCCTGTGGAGGTGATAATTCAACAGATATGTCTAGAGCTAACTCAGAATCGATACATTTTATGGGAAACACAAGTAGAGGCATAGGAAACCAAAATTTCGGGAACAACTACAGCCTAATTGGAGGAACCACCCAAATTTCTCATGGTAATATCATTGAGGGCCAACTAGATGAGATTAAAGAGATATTGAAGATATTAGTAGATGAGCGGCAAAATCAGTCAGCTACTGGTAAAAAACATGACTTGGCAATTTATAGTCTTGAAAGAAAGATGGGTCAAATTGCCGGAGTGCAGAATACTAGGGCCCAAGGAAGTCTACCTAGCGATGTAGATCCTAATCCAAAACCATTTAATGTTGTGGTTACAAAAGGTGGTAAGGATTTCCATAGAGGAGGCAACATTTGTACAACCAGGCCTTCAAACCCAAGGACTTTCACCCAGGCAGTACGAGGTCATGGTGCACAATTTTTGGGAAATAGACTTCTGTTTTTCAACTCGTGACCAGATTTTCTCTCTCTTGACAAGAGAACAATAACTAGTGATAGTGAACTACAAATTTCTAATGAATTCTCACCTGGTCACGTAATTTGCACTTTCACTAGTAGTAAAGTAGCGATGAGAAGTGAAGAAAGTTCCTTCGCACATTTAAGATGAAAAATATAACATTCAGCACAAAAGCACTAGAGTCAGAGCACTGATTAAAAAGGATGCACTAGTGTTAAAGCATGGATCACAAGCTCCAAAAATGACGATTAACCCCAATATAGCACGGATCTGGTAGCAACAGAGAATCTCAAATTACCGTTTTCTTCAACCTAGGAACAAGTCCAGCATGGAGTAACTAGTTTTATATGTAGTTCTAATCTATACGATTGTTTTTCTTAGAGAATGACAAATTGTCTTGCAATCAAAATAAGCAACCACCGCAAGTTCAAAAACAAGGTGTTGGATATAGTACAGACTACAGACACAAAAGAACAGTCTGCCAACAAAACCAAGTGATCACAAAGCTTGGGCCAATGTTAAGTGATACATTTTCTCACATTAGACTTAATTTCAGTCTTGACATCAACCTGATCAAGAATCTTATGCAAGGGAAGTGAATCCCCCTTAGCATTCGCACGATGTTGGGGGCTATTCAATGCAAAAAAAAGAAATGTTAGCACACACTAGTATCACAATGCAAATTGCCATCATATTTAATGATGGTACAAACTGTCTTCACTGAATTTTTTTTGCCTCAAATCTTTATGATTCTTAACCTTTAAAATGTTAAAGCAAATAGCAATTTTTCCTTCCTTCCAAAAGAAATAGATGATCGAAAAAGTAAACAAGTTGCACTCCAATTTATCAAATGTAACTCCACAATGTTGTCTCAGTAAGAAAAATATTTTGAAACATCTCAAACATCACTTATAGCTATGGATATCAAATAAACTCCAAAATCATACAGAATTTGGAGCTATAAGATTACACAAATGAGGAAGAATAGATATTAAAAGAACATAATGGCACAAGACGACAATAATCTCAAGTTGGAGAGGCGAAAGAGGTACAAACCCCTCAATGTGGTTACCCGGGCCTACCACCCCCCGAGCTAGGGACCAAGGTACAAACCCCTCGATATGGTTATACGGGCCTACTACCCCCCGTACTAGGCAACCAAGGTACCAACCCCTCGATACGGTTATACGGGCCTACTACCCCCCGTAGTAGGCAACCAAGGTACCAACCCCTCGATACGGTTATACGGGCCTACTACCCCCCGTACTAGGCAACCAAGGTACCAACCCCTCGATACGGTTATACGGGCCTACTACCCCCCGTACTAGGCAACCAAGGTACCAACCCCTCGATACGGTTATACGGGCCTACTACCCCCCGTACTAGGCAACCAAGGTACCAACCCCTCGATACGGTTATACGGGCCTACTACCCCCCGTACTAGGCAACCAAGGTACCAACCCCTCGATACGGTTATACGGGCCTACTACCCCCCGTACTAGGCAACCAAGGTACCAACCCCTCGATACGGTTATACGGGCCTACTACCCCCCGTACTAGGCAACCAAGGTACCAACCCCTCGATACGGTTATACGGGCCTACTACCCCCCGTACTAGGCAACCAAGGTACCAACCCCTCGATACGGTTATACGGGCCTACTACCCCCCGTACTAGGCAACCAAGGTACCAACCCCTCGATACGGTTATACGGGCCTACTACCCCCCGTACTAGGCAACCAAGGTACCAACCCCTTGATACGGTTACCCGGGCCTACAACCCCCCGAGCTAGGCTTGGTCGACTCACAACACTTATATAGAGAAAATCATATACATGTATCCATTTCATCATCATTTCAATACTTATATAATCATCCGACTCATAGGACGTACATTGGACCTTCCATTTCATAAGAATTCTATAAATGGCATTTTATCAAACACATGGTGGGCTATTGTTCATGTAGATAAAATCATGTCTTTCAAGAGTACTAAGTCCAACCAATTCCGAAATACATATAAATCAGCCCACCAACAACATACATATATATATACATATATAACAACCTTCATAATTTGATCATTGAGGCATGAAAACCATAAACATCATATAATCATTCCATTTCATGATAATATACAAAAATAGACCATAATAGGATGTGTAGTAGTAATTCCATAGTTCAAGAGTTCATAAATGATCATAAGGACCCATAAACTTGAAGTAGAAATAGAGGATAAATGGTTGGACTTGTGGAAAGGAAGGTTTCCACAATCAAACCCACATACCTCAACTTTGGAGAATTCTTGATGAAGATTGGAATGGAGAATTGAAGCTTGAGATTGAGTCTTGAATCCGGAATTAGAACTTGAGATGTTTGAATTTGGTTGCAGATCTTGGTGGAATTTTGGAGAGGGCTTAGAGAGTGTTTTGAAGAAAAAAAATATGGCTAAGTATGGGACATTTATAAAAAACGTCCCCAACCCGCTAAAAAAAAAAGCTCTCTGAAAATTGCAACTCTGTACAGACAGGTTTTACGAAAATGGTCATAACTCCCTCATCCTAACTCGGAATGAGGTGAAACCAAGTGCGTTGGAAAGCTAACTCAAAGAGCTTTAATTTAATAGGTTGTGGCTCTTCCAGTTCCTTGTGTGCTAAGAGATATGCCCCTTCAAAGTTGACCCTCCAAATCGCATTTTTTCCGATTTTCGAATTTTGATACGGTTGCTCTAAAATTTGGGTTAGACCCATTTCCCACTCAATTTGACCCCATGAATAAGAATATGAAGTCGAATTTCTGAAATCATGCACGGATTTTGAGATATATGGAAATTACAATTATAGGTGTTTCCAAAGCACATTTTCGGGCATTTTTGGGGTCGTTTCACTTTAGGACATTTTTTCCTTAATAATTAATATTGCATAAAATTGTATAAATGTGCAGCGTGAATACAGAAAGGGACCTATAGATTCAATCCATTGAATTCATGTCTCCAAGAGTAACAGTAGCTTTAGCCTACGGATACACAAAAATGTTAGTCACAGAACACCACCTTCCTACCGACCCAAAAATCAAATTTTGATCCGTCTACACTCTATACACTGAACTCTTGATAGCTCCGTAAATTTCGGCAGCTTTCCATACAGGGTGATGGATAGCCTCCATTGTTTCAACCCATTCGTTCCATTTCATTTGTTGATCCATACATCTATTACAACCATGAAAGGAGACTTTCAATGAAATGGAAAGAATGGGTTGAAACGATGAAGGCTATCCATCACCCAATATGGAAAGTTGCATGAATTTATGGAGCTGTCAAGAGTTCAATGTATAGAGTCCAGGCGGATCAAAATTTAATTTTTGGGTAGGTAGAAAGGTGGTGTTCTGAGACTAACACTTTTGTGTTTCCGGGGGTGAAGCTACTGTTACTCTTGAAGACATGAATTCAATAATTTGAACCTATTTTTATCCAAGACAATTGAAAATAATAAAATTTCAAACGGACCATGCACAAAGATACATTGGGCTCCCTCCACCTACAGGAACATACCTTAGGAGGTTGGAATTCACAAACATCAAGAGCACCACAACATCAATTAAAAATAAGGCTTGAATAGTTATTTAACCACAAAATATAGTAATATCAACTCCAAACCAAATAAGCCCTCACAGAGAGCAATCCCACAGAGCGCTTCCAAATTAAACAACTCCAAAAGCTGGAAAACAATTGAAATCAGCAAACCCAACCAGATATAGATAAACAAAAAATCAAAGCAGACCTTGGTAACAAATATTGAAGCAATAGAGACAAATAGGGACTAGAGCAGCAGTGGATCCAACACAACAACACGAAGAGTGATCAGAGTAAACTGATGTTGCAATTAAAAAATTGTAGATCTTCACAGATGCCGGATAAGATAGCGAAACAATTGATCCAGTCTACAAAAGAAAAAAATTGTCTAAAAGATCTTCGCCCTTTGCCGAAGGTGAGGGAAACTGGTAACTCATGGATGAGTGACCCAAAGCAGAGAAAAAAAGAAAAGAAACGAAACCTTAACTTGGCTTTGATACCATGTCACTCATAAGGTATGGAGAATAATTTGTATATTACTCAACAAGAACAAGGATATAAATACATGAAGAGAACAAACTAACTATGATGACTAAATATTCAAATCCCTAAAATTCAATTGTATTATCTATATCATTAATATTCAGATTTTGTAATACTAATAATACGGAGAAATAAGTTAGGGTGGGAGTACCAGGTAGAAATTAGTCGTGTTGAAAGAGGTGAAAATGCAATAAAATCAGCAGAAACAAATTAAGCATAGAATTTTGGTTGCTACAAGGAGAAAACCACTACAGAAACGCTAACAGAAAGTAGAGGGTGAAGAGGATACAAATGGAGCAATGACATGTATTCAGAACACATACTGATCAAATATGACATGAGAAAAATATTGCTAACTCTTAGCAAACAGGATCTGGTATCATTGTCGAGAGTACCCATTTTGCATTATAGAAACTACAGAAGGGGTCAAAGATGTCAATCGTTCAGTTACTAATCCAGATTGACTAAATGCAAGATTCTCAAAATGTAGCCATCATCGAAGACAATGAACATGTATAGATACAAACCTGATGAAATGGATAAAGATGATATTGCATTAGTGGAAGCTTTAAACTTGTGCAGCAAGTTCCCTGACATGGAATCAATTTTGCAAACCAGTCCACCAGCACCAGCCGTTTAAATGAATTAACCATGTGAAGTCCAAGAGAGGGCCCAACATGAGCACAAAAGAGAGCTGAAATTTCAGCCCAAAGTGTGTTGAATTCTCTCCCAACAATGGCTGAAAATCACAACAATATAGAGCCCAAATATAAGATGAAGTCATGTGGGCTTTGGGTGCAAATTTGTCAATTTTTTCCTTATTCCTGTTAGCTAATTTTAGGAAGAAGTTTGATATTTTTTTTATATGTTTTCCCAATTTAAAGTTTCATAGTTTAAAAGTTTTCTAATTAAAAGTAGGATTTGAATCTCATGCTATTTTGAATAGGTTTCTCCTATATGTAGGGGTGGATTTTGTTATTTTCAAAAGACATAAATAATATTATTTGAGAGGTTTCTCCCCTTTACACCTCTGTGTATGGTGACTATGAATTTATCTTACAACATTATAAGAAACGATTCTTTAAAGGTAAGTTAAATTCTTAACTTTATATATTTGGTTTCTATTAAAGTAATTAAAGAAGGTAATTAGTCGTTTATTAATCGTTGTCTCTAATTTCTTTGAAATAGAGGTCTACATCACTTTTGATCTAAGTTCTTGAATTGACTTTATTAGTATCATAATTAGTTTTAGTCTGCTAATTCTGAATACTAAGATAGCTCAAGTTCTTAGCACTTCATTTTGAAATTTGAGAATTTTATTCTTGAATTTTACATATCTTTTAATTCCTATGTTTAATCTTTGTTTCACTTTTACATTTTTTTCCTTGTTTATTCAAGTAACCCCATTTTTATAATTGAACCCTAGGGTTTCTCTATAAATGGGTTCCACAATTCCTGATTAACACTCAATACTTACAATTTTACATAAGCTTAAACTATAAAGCTTTTTGTTCTCAAGTTTACTTGAGCTACTTTGTTCCTAAGCAACAACACAAGCTCATAATCTAGATTCTAAATTAAACTATTTATTATTGTTCTTGCACTCATTTATCGTTCCATTGTTGTCATCTATTTTATAATAAGGTCAATTTTATCCGTATGCCTTTAAACCACCCTTAGAAATTTAATTATACCATTTTACGCTAAACAACATCATACAAAATGAAAAAAGAAGAACTAAAAGGCACAACACATACATGCATGAACTAAAAGGCACAATATATACATGCATGACAACATTAATTCTTTTTTCCTAAAAGTAAAAGTTGAATAGCCGGAAACTATACGGAAAGTATAATTAGCTACAGTTATTCACGTATGAAAAATGGTGAAAAGAATTAATTAATATGAGTGAAAATTCACTTGAGGGAAAAATATTACCTTGACACGGCCATCACCGGAGCTGATAGCAAAGAAGTTCAAAGAGGGACTGAAACAAGTCAAGATGTCCCTAATAGTTGATGTTCCCATTGCTGAAATGAAGCTTAGGTTAAGAACTTTGGCTTGTGGTGGCGTGTTGGACGGTGGAAAACGGGGGTGGCCGCTGAAAAGAAAAATAACAAAGTTTTATACTTGCGTACTGAAATAATGTGGCTTCAAATTTTTATACTTATATTTTGGTTTGTGTGTGTGGTTGGGGGAGGGCCGGAGGGGGTTGTGCTTTATTTATGTACCTAACTCTTATTTAGTCATCGATTTCAAAGTTGAAATTTGAGTTTTTCAAATTGAGGTTTTATGAATGGAAGTTTCAAAAATTCTAACACTGTTTTGACCTAATTTTTGGGAACTTGAAAATATTTGAAGAACAAATTTTCAAAATCTGATCAAATTTCACGATCAAACATATATTTGAAAATGAATTTTCAAAACTTACTCCAAAAATTTTGTTAGAAATTTTACGGAAATACTATGTCATGGGATAGAAGGGGTGATCTTATTTATGTTGAGACCAAGAACATGGAGATAGCTACAAATATGGAGGCAGAGGTGAGAGAAGTCTGGGAAGCTCTACAATTTTGCATCAGGAAAAATATGAATCATGTTCATCTAGGATCTGATTCCATAGTATTGAAAAACATGATCACTAGGAGTTGGAAAATACCTTGTGAGTTAGCAGAAATGATAGAGGAAATACATGACATGGTGGGGAAAATCAGAGTACAGGTTTCACATAATTTTAGAGAAGCAAATCAATTGGCAGACTACATAGCAAATTCAGTAATAAATAAAGAAGAAATAAAGACATTTCAGAATTTCATTCAGTTACCAAGTTTGGGAAGAAGGATTCTTAACATAGATAAACAACAAATCCCTTCAGTTCACATCAAGAAAAGGATAATTAACACTAACAACAATGGACATCATGCTTAGTTACAGATCAGAAGACACATTGTTCCAAAACTATGATATGTACAGGTTAGATATTAGCTATGTTGGGAGTAAAAAAGATGTTAAGGAACCTATCATATTTCTAAGCTATGACAACCAGCAAAAAGGGACATAGGGACCAGCAAAAAAAAAAGAGTATAGAGGCCAAATCTGATTTCAAAACAAGCTTCCAGCAAAAAGATAGCGAGGGAGCTACAAGATCTTTTTCTATTTTGCTTCACCTGCAAAATAAAGAGAATCAAAATAGGAATAGAAGAAACAGGGAAGATGGTAATAGCAAGTCACTTACACAGATTTGCATGGAGGAAGCACAAAGGCACATACTCTCTTTCAATTTCTTCACGAACTCAGGCTTTCTAACCAGAAAACACACCTACAGAGAAAACATTGTCAGTTGCGAAGAAGGAGCAAGAACTCAACATGGAAAGAACGAGGCATACCTTTGAGAGATGATATTTCTAGCATCCATCATAAGTCGAACATGAAGGATGTTTATCACCCAAAGAAGGAGGAACATCAAGTCGGAGCAAGGGGACAATGACAAACATTGGGATAGAGGCGAGCTGAGAAAGAGGAGAGGAAGAGAAAGAAAGGAGAAAAGGATAGCTCATTTAGAAAACCCTAGTATTAGGGTAGTGCCTTTATCCACTTGGTTTTGCCAATTTGGGCCGATCAGGTTGAACCTTTTATTAATGATGTTTGGCCCAGTTATTTAATTAATAAGATGGATCTTGAGTCCAAATTTAAATTTTTTTTTAAATATCCTCAACACTTGAGGCATGTAAAAGATACTATCTTTAAAGATATTTCATCTGATTGTATCCTTGTATTCAACAAGCTCTTCTTACATATACAAAAGTTAAAATCTAACAAAAAATCAAGTAGGAAAAAGAAAATTCAGCATACTAGAATATATGAGGAATTAATATGTTAATATCTTCTCTTTTTCTCCCCAAAGAGAAAATACAATAAGAATATATAGGTGTGAAAAAACTCAAAATGATCACAACGGGAGTAAATGAGATAGGTAATTATGGGAAAATATTACAAATATCAATTGCAACATTAATATTTGAATCAGAAGTAATGACCAATCTTTAATGGATAAATATAAAGATTAGCTATTAAGGCTATAAATGGTCTTTTCAAATGTAGTAATAGAAAAAAAAATTATTTTGAGATACTCCTATTAAATAACATTTGTAAAACATTTATGGTCAAATACTAACTTAAATTGAAAAATAAAAGTGCAATCCCTACTCAAGCTTCTTTAACCTTTTCCCTTCATCATCTCATTTCCCACCTTTAATTACTTCTTATGATTGAGTTTAATTAGATAATGTTTGATCCTTATATAAGTTTGATTTAATAAAAATATAAATATTATCAGATATTGAACTTTAAAAAATAAGAGAATCCAAAGTAAATTTATTATTTTTGAGATTTAGATTTTATTTCACTATTAAAAGTGATGAAATTGCAATTAAAAATTATGTATCAAAATTATATTCAAAATTTAAACTTTACTTGGATCAATTTTAAAATAAAAATATATTATTGATTTTTTTACATAATATATTATCGTGATTATCATAATTTGGATTATCAAGATTTTAATAGTAAATATTTGAAAAAACTAGTGTGATTCTCCAAGCATATACTGAAAATTTTGAAAGAATTATAGTATATATTTGAAAAAATTTATGTGACCTTCAAGTATTTAATTGAAAATACTTGAAGAATCAACTATAACTTATTGTTAAAGCACAGACACTCACATTTATTTTAAGTTTTTGCCAAAAATCATCCTTAAACTATACCTCAAAACTTTAAACTATATCCTTAAAGTAGTATTCCTAGCAGAAAACATTTCATTCAAGTATTTAAAAGTGAACAATTTTCATCCTTCTACTTGAATTTATCATAAAACTAACAAATCCCACAAAAATCAAATCATCTCTTCGTAATTATTATTCTTAGATACGCAAAAAATTCTAGTGTGAACTTTTTCGGTGATTGAGTTTAGCATTATGCAAAATCTTTTAATTTGACAATTTTTTCCATTTATTTTTCATGTAATTTGATATTAAATATATTATTAGTTGAAATATGTTTCTTCTCAATTGAATATGCTAGAAGCGGCATTTGTTGGAGACTTCCGCTTCTAATCATGTAGAATGAAACTCATATGCGAGACATAATCATAATTTGATCATTTCAATATCAGATTGGCCCAAAAATTTATTATCTAAATACAGTTTGGCTATGAAAAAGGTAAAGATAAGTAAGCTCCAATTTCTTTCCATTACTAAATGAGAAAAGGAGAAAATCATGTATCCTCACCTTCCAAACATATTTTTTGTTTCTGTAAGCAATAATAACTAAGATTCTTAATATATTTTTTTCAGGAACTTCTTATAGGAAGTGATGAAATTATGCAGGAAAACTTTTGTTGATAGTCATGTGAACTGGTCATGTTTTTGTTGGATCCCTTAGTTTTTTAACTATATCTAACAGAAGCAGGAAAATTGTTCACTTTTACATACTTGAAAGATGTTTTATGCTAAGAATGATATCTTAAAGATGTAGTTTAAGTTTTAGGTATAGTTTAAGGATGCTTTTGGCCAAAAACTCCATTATTTTCATCTCCAATTTTAATGTTGTAACAGCAGGGTGATCCATTGAAAGGAAACAGCATGTTGATTTCTTTTTGCTACCATCTAACTTCCAAATTGCTACATGTCGATCACTAACAGAAGAAGAAAGAAAATGTCCCCCATCTTCAGAGAAAATCATACAAAAATAGAACAGAAGATGTATACCAAACCTATGTTGTTTTGACTCTTAAAAATGTCGACAGGTGCATGTTAGATCCTCCAAAAGTATAGTGCATCTTTGGAGGATCCTACACAGGTGTGGCAACTCTTTGGAGAGTCCAAGAAACATAGTGACACTCACAGGCTGGTATTGCTTTAGTGGAAGCTTTAAACTTGTGCAGTAAATTCCCAGTCATGGAATCAATTTTGCAAACCAGAACATAAGCACCAGCCGTTTAAATGAATGACACATGTGAAGGGAATGAGATGGCATTGACACCACTGCTCATAAGCGTAGAATTTCAATCAATGCAGGGGAGATATGCCATATCATAATCTTAATATATGATAATATTTAGATAAATATAGAAAAATTCAACTTTGAGCTGTGAGAACGATAAATATAGAAAGACTAGAGAAAAGCTTCAAGATGGAGACAGTACAAGATCTGTGATCTACAAGTCATTACTACTTCTGCTTCACTTTTACAAGTTCAGGATTCCCAGAAACTAGAGTTCCAGCATAAAGCCATATATTAAGGAAGTCACAACAAAAGCAGTAAGCAACTAATGACAATAGAAAAACAAGAGTGAAACATTGGAAAATTTTACAAAATTTCATAAAAAATCTCCCTTCTTGAAAGTTGGACACATGTGCTAGACATCAAACTCCAAACCTCTCTTCTGGGTAACTCTACGCATTAAACTTAGGAAGATGGGAAAAAATCACATAGTTTATCCTAATTGGCTCCCATACATGAGATATAAATTCATTCAGATTAGTTATGGCCATCATCACTTAACAATATAGGTCATAGGTGAGAGGCTAATCTGGGTAGACAGTTAAAGGCTCGGGAGACCATGATTATAATATCAACCTTATGAGTCAATGAAATTATAGAAATTCGCATAGCAATTGCATATACATATGAAGAGATTACGTGTCACGCCCCAAGCCTACACCCTGGGCGAGACTGACACTCGAGAACCATTGTTGGCCCCAAGCGAACCCTTGACCATACTCAGCAGAAGACTTTACTCAACAAAGAAAACTTCATGAAATAAACTAAAATGTTGTAAAGAAACATTCAACTAGCCCATAAGGCAACTCAAGTCTCAACATAAACGGAATGAAAATGAAAAAACTAATGAACTATAACTATATGTGTATGAAGCATCTAATACTATGAGGGATGTCGGGACAAGATCCCCGATCATCCTAACAACTGAAATGATAAAGCAATATAAAAAGGAATCCTCTAGAAAGCAAGGAGGCTCACCAAATGACTCTGAAATGTTCGACTGGATCAACGAAGTGCTCGATGATGATCCTGGTTACATGTATCTGTATCATAAAACGATACAGGCCAAATGGCATCAGTACATTGAATGTACGAGCATGCGAGAGGAATTCTAAACAAAATGTAAGCTTGAACTGGAATATGAAAGAAATACTTACCTCAACTTTACTCAACTCATGAATACTCAACTCAATGCAGAAATAAAACAACAATAAAGATGCAGTTTATATAAAGCATTTAAAATAGTAGATAACATCTCGAAGTATTGGAAAATACAATAATATCTCTGTTTACGAGATTCTCTAACCGGCAACCATCACTATGAGCTATGTGATGATACAACGTCTCGTCCACGCTGCCAGAACTGTCCTATAACTTTCTGAGATATAGAGTCGATCCACTAAGCTATGCTTAAAAGCATTAAGGAATCATCTAAAAAGTATGATCCTTTCTATCCATGTTGGCTACATGGACGTTTATGGAGACTTGAGTTATTATGAACTCGTCCCCATATCGGTGCTCAGTACTACTCCAAAAATATACTCAGCTCATATGTTAAAAACATAACTCTTTCTCTGTGGTTTGAGATTATTACTCAAAAACTAGCTCAAAAGTTCTCTTGGAAATCGGTGTTTCCTCTCTTGTTTAAATGTGAAAACATTTACTCTTTGGGAATACATAGCTCCCATATAATCTTTTAAAGAAAATAAACTTCACTCTTACACTTACTCAACTCAATGCTCAAGTCTTAAAACAGGTTTAAAACACTTGTAAAAGTCTTTTGAAAAGACTCTAAGAACTATTTAAACTTAGATTTTAACTTTCCTTGAATTTGAATTTATGGATTCAAGGTTATGATTCATATTTATGGATGATTTCTAGATGTTTAGAAGTCATTTAGAGTAGTTAGAATCGATAGGATGTGTGAGTACACTTTAGAAGGACTCAGACGGCTAAACAACAAAAAACGGGTGGGGGCAGGAGACTCTGGCGCACAATTGGCCAATGCTATGAGAGCGCCCACTAGGGTCGTGAGATCTGATGAGCCCTCTCGAGTTATTATTTCAAAACAAGCCTCAGTTTCAACTACACACTCGGCACACCAGTCACATAATACCTCTACTCATGTGGCTCCACAATCTGGTTATACTATATCTACACCCACTGTGGTACCTCGTTCGGGTTACCAAACATTGCAGGGCTATTCACATCTTGGTCGTTGGTCTACCATACCATCAACTAGTGCTAGTCAGTGCAATAGTTTGAATACTAGTAGAGGATCAATTGGACTTTCCAATCTTCATCTCGAATCCAATGGCTCAGAGCCTAATGCTCCCACCACCCAGCACTCAGATGCACATGGTCCTCAGCCAGGAGATAGAGACAATTTTCGGAGACTCGTCATCGAGCCATTAGGATACAAGTATGATTTAATTATGTTTCATCTTTCATTTATCTATTTATATTTTAATTGATTGATTATTTTTTGTTTACTCTACTTTTTCAATGAACTCGTATTTCAGCTTACGTCCGGATGTGGGTATGGCAAAGAATATTTTAAAGTGCATCGGAACTCATTATAATGGTGTGTATCCGAATTGGAGTTCGATTCCACTTTAACACCCAAGGGTAGATGTTCAACGAATTTAAGGTAAGAATATATATAAATTAAATTTACATCATATTCATTTAAATTCTCTAGTCATTTGAACAATAAATATTTAGTTATTTTTTATTACAGAAATATTATGCATGGGCTCCCGAACACGAGGATGACGTTCAAGTGAACTTTAAGCTTAAAGCTTCAAAGTTGCTTTCTAGCACATTTTGTGACTATCGGAGAGAAAACAGAATTCCTAAGTTTATGTTACCGGATTGATGGGCTCTGTTATTGAAACATTGGAGTACTGATGAAAAATTTAAAAAGAGGAGTGAGATTGGGAAGATGTCTCGTGCATCAGAAAAGGGAGGCTCTTTGGAGGCTCTTTGCACATTGGTGGAGCTATTAGCCAAGTTACTAGGAAGGAAAGAATGGTATACTTTCTTAATTTAGTAAAATAATTTTTTCTTTTTGTATAAGTATTTTTGGTAGATTAATGAGATCAAATTCTATATATGTTATTTGCAGGAAAATAATTGGTAGGCCGGTAGCTGTAGCAGAGATGTTCAAGGTTACTCACGTCAAGAAGAGTATGAACCCCACAGAAGAATAAAGATGGCTTGAGCCACGTGCTCAAGAGACATATGTAAGAACTCCATTCAAACTAATCTTTTTTTCTTTTCCTTGTATATATTACATTCTTATTCGTAGAGTTCTTTGTTT